TACGTTCGTGAATTTTAAGGATTTATTTCCACCAAACCAGAGTTGGTGATTGTTGGAAACACTAACAGAGACGCTTTAATCAGTTTGATTCTGTTTCTTTCCACTTTGTTTTGGTCTGAGATGCTCCTGTGTGATGTGAGAATTTCGTGTATATATAAAATGTAAAATGTAAAAATCCAAGTTAAGGATGAGGTCTCAGGACAACACACGTACACACATATATATATGTGTGTATATATGTGTGGTATTCTCTCTATTCTCTATAGGTTCAACCATCTGTTACACTTTGAGTTCAGTTCTGTGTTAAGATCTCAGCTTTCGAAGAACACCCCAGTCCACATCCTCCGCTCGTTATAAAACACTGTAACCACTCATTCATCAGGGGTTGTATTGAATGATGGAGGAAGAACCGCCAACTGCGCCGCACATCTGACTTCAATCCGGAGCACCGCGGCGTCTTATCGGAGAAGCCAGCACCGGGTTCAAAGTGGTGTCTTCCAACTACAAAAAACCAACCCCACCATCCGCTCCGCTCCCAGAGCAACACGAGGTTCAGATGTAAACCACAGGCCTCTCTGCTGAAGGAGGACTGACTCGTGTGTCCTCCCTCCCTCCCTCCTTGTCCTCGGCTATTTTTAACCTACGCTCTCTGATCCATTATGTATTCTCCAGGTGCAGCGCCTCCCTTTTATTCTCATCTACCCACCAACAGAGCGGGAGAGAGAATGAAATTATGTCTCTCCACCGGCAGTAATTGTGTAAAAGGCTCTCCTGGTCAACCCTGGAGGACACTGCAGAGAGGAGGAGGAGGAGGAGGAGGAGGAAGAAACATGAGCTAAGAGACAAGATGACAGTAAAATGAAGGAGGAGAGAAGAGCTGGTTGTTGAGGAGAAAGAGACGTGATACGGTTTAAATATGGAGATCATTTATAAGTAATATTGACACCTTTTCTATCACTGACTGCACCGACAACCGCTTATTACATATTACATATTTTATGTATATTTCATATTATATTCAATAATAAGTTTGTGTAAAGAGATTTGGGTGAGTTTTGAGCAGATTATTTCCTGTAAATATTGATCGGAGATGAGTTTCCTGATGTTTTTATACAGTTATCTGTCTGTATTATATATTATTATATATTTAAACAATCATACAGATGTAATCAACTTCTATTCACTCTTTGGTTGTTATAACTGTGTATATTTTTACACCTTAAAGTCAAAAAGGACTCACGGCGACTCTGTGACGCTTTGGCGACCCCTATTGGGGGCCCCGACCCCCAGGTTGGGACCCACGGATGTAGAGCTTCTATAGAAAGTGTTTGTGTTGTGTGAATGAACCAGAGAGCTGTTATGTAACACACTGACCACCTCATCCGTCTGACAGAAGATACTCCAGCTGCAGCTCTCCTCCAATCACAGCGCAGGAGGCTTTTCCTTGACGACGGGTTACCGAGCAGGAAACCCCGCGGAGCCGCTGGGAGGAGGATGACGTCCAAATACGTCTGTTTACCTGGAAAACACACAGGCATCAGATCTGCTGTTCACCCTCTGAACTCTGCTGTTGTTGCTTATTGTGAATATTCATAAATGATTCAGAGCCCTGAAGTCTGTACAACCGAACGCTTGGAGGTTATTTAATCCATATTACTTGTAAAAAGTGTTGAAGTTGAGTCATAAATTGTAAAAACAGGATCTATTGTCAGAAATATAATATTCATAGACATGTGTTCATTAGAGTATAATCACCTGAGAATAATAATGGTTGTGTTTTTGTTACCAGGTCGTCAGTTTGCTATTTCACCACCATATTTAAAAGCCATTAAATCCTAAACACTGGTCCTTTAAATAAAAACTGAGTGATTCAAAATATTTCTAAATATTCTGGATGCTCCAGAAGTTATTTTAACTTTGTCCATTTTTAGGTTTTTGAAAAATGCTCATTTTATTTTTAGTTCTTTAGCTGCTCCACCTCCACCCGCACCAACCAGCTGGCGCCGCTGCATGGTTCTAATAACGTATCACAAAGTAGTTATTATAGTTTTACATTAATTTAAACAGAAAAGAAAGAAAGAGTCCATTGAATTGCAGTTGAAACAACAAATGAAATAAAAAGCAATCAAAAATGCTCTTTGGTGGAACTACGCTAACAGTTTCCACCTGTTTCCAGTCTTTGGGCTAAGCTAGGCTAAACAGCTTCAGGACATATCTGATACGTTCAGATGAACCTCACTGACAGAGAAACATCAAATACTCTCACAAAGACCTTTTTTGTTTCAACAAAGACAGACGAAACTGCTTCTGTCAAAGCAACAAAGCCAAGCTAACTCCTAGCGTCCAGTCTTTTCTGTTCTCAGACACTTCCTGTTCATCACACGTGGGTTTGTAGGTTTTCTAGCCTGTGTTGGGTTCATCTTGTACAAAATGTAAAAGATTGAGACACACAACCTCCTTCCTACTGTTGTTGACTGTGAAATATATTCAGAGATTTCCAGTGGCGCCTCCACCCTCCTCGTTACTGACCGCTGGCAGGCAGCTCGCTGGAGGTCATGTGGACCGTCTGAACTGCACTTATCATCAATGTGGTAATACCGAGGAATGTTATTCCACACATAAACAACAGAACCGCTCAAAAAAACGACACACACATAAACACAAACTTGCAACCCCCGCAGTGACCACGCTGTCGGGACCGCAGCTCCCACAGTAAATCTGACTCTACGATAACAGCGAGCTGCAGTTCAGCCAGGACCTCCAATGTATTACGCAACACTTCAACACGCTGCTGCACTGCGAGGGTAATGTAACGGTGGAAAGGAGTCAGCCTTAAACAGAACCAGATGGACTGAACTGGAATGAGAGAAATTAAGCGAAGCCACAAGAGGAGGGATAAATAAAGATTCGTCTCTGTTCATGAAGTGGTTTCATACATTTGTTGCTAATTCACATCTCATTCACATCATTCTTTTGACTTTTTCCACTGAAATCTGTTTCCTGTTCGGTCTGTGTGAAATGAATACTTTGGTTGGTGAACTGTGATCACTGCTAACTGCTAACGTATACACGCTCAGCTGCAATAGCTCTCATAGCTAGCTGACTTTCCATCTGTCAGTTAGCAAACTAGTTAGCTAATGTAAACACATTATTTATTCCAGGGATGTTTTTTTTAGGTACATTTTATTTTTTTGTTTTTTAATTTAAACATTTTCAACAAACTTTATTTAACAAAGAACAGCAGTGATTGAGAGACGTCTCTTTCTTCACTTTCTTATTTAGTATAAACTTCTGGCACACTCAACAAATTAGATTATTATTGTTGTTGATTTACATCATATTTGAGGAAAGGAAAAGAGAACAAAATGACATTTACATAAAAAGAGGAAGTGGTTATGGTTGGGAGCTAACAGAGCTAACCTGTCCAGAGAGGACAAACTGTGAACGTTTGTGTGGATGAATCAGCGCTCAGTCGTCCTCCGGTCTAACGTCACTGCTCCAGATCAAATAACCTGCACACAGCTAACAGCTAACTGGAGACTGTGACCTCGAGGGACCGCAAAGTCAAAGACACACTGAAGAAACTTTGTCAACTCTCACACAACTAATCAAATTACAGATGATATATTGATCGCTTACTGTACGCAACAAACTCTACAATCCCAGCAGGAGCCACGAGACGCTGCAGCGAGCTTTAAACCCACTGTTGGACAACATGTTGCTCTTTTATTACCAATAAAAAGGAGCAGATTTTATGCTTAATGATCCACTTTGGACGCCGCGCCACGAGCACGCCGTTCAACAGAAACTCTAAATTCTGTTAACTTTTCATTGTGAACGTCTTCAGAGCACACTGACCAAGTTTGAAGTCAATCCAATCACTTCCCGAGGAGGAACTCGTTAAAATACGACGTGTGGAAATGGTGCCAGAAACTTTCACTGGCTTTTTGGGGGATTTCATGGCAGCTTTTCTAAAATGTTTTTAGGCATTTTGTAATTTATTTTTCTTTTGTATAATTCATTAAATATTAAAAGCAACTTGTTCTGGTAGTTTGGTGACGTATGGATCAAAGTTTTAAGGGTTCGTTCAGATTTACAGAAAACATTTTACCCAGAGTTCAAAGGGATTCGCAGATAATTGATTGTAACTTCCTGCAGGGGTTAATTGATTAAGGAGCTTCAAACAGGGTTGAACATATAAGATCATTTTAAGGTGATATACTTAAAAGTCCTCTTTCTGTTTCCACTGAGTGAATAAATGTTTCTTCCAGCTGATGGACAGAAAGCGTGTAATGAATCAGTGGACGTGTACATTAAACGTGGGTGGTTCTGAAAACGTCTGTGATTTATAAACGCTGCTATAATCAAATGATTCAAACAGTGAACTGTTCCAGAGGCCACAGTTAATGTGTGCGTACATCACTGATCAACACACAGCGGCGCCATATCAAAGGCCGGCGGCCATTTGTCACCGACTGTAAACAAACACGGCCGCGAACAAACGGATCCCAGATGTCCGCGGGGAGGCGGCCATCAACACAAACTGTCTGAGTGTCACGAAACATGACGGATGAACTCTTTTACACTTCACCATCTGGAGCTCTAACACCGGACTCTCTGCTGCACATTCATTAATCCACCAGCAACATAAAGTCTGTCTCAGCGGTATCGAACCGAACGGGTGGTTTTCTGTATTATAGCTCAGGTTTACTTCTGCCACAAACACAGAGAACGCACCTGAACGTTGATCAATCCTAAAGTTAAACTGATCAAAGAGCGACGTCCTTCTTTTAGCAACAAGTCCATCAGGAAACTCCATAAATCACCTCGGTACCGCTGTCATCAAACTGTCCTCTGTC